AGCTCTGCAAACTGGCCAGATCAAAATCTCTTAATTCTACTATTTATAATGGATCTCTATAGATCAGACTTCTAAAGATTCATTTAGAAAGTGAATTAGAACAAAAACGGTGATCAGCATAAAAAACTAGTTTTAATTAGAAAGTTTTGGATCATCGAAGAAGGTGAGTTTAAAGAAAATTAATGACCAGAGGTGAGTTTTCTATCGTTCATTGTAAGGATTTTTTTCGTTAAAAAATATTTTCAAACAGAATTCAATTCAATTTTTTTTGCAGGTTACTTATAATCATAACTTCATGACTATTATAAAATATCTCTGTTCAGATCTGCTTCGTTTCTGAGATGTGAGATATTTTTCATAAAAACTGACACTTGTTGATTGATTCGAAGACAAAATTGTAACTTTATACTCAAATTTTCGACAAATTTTAGCACTGAAATTGCTACCATGGATGAAGAACGTGTGCAAATTTTGAACTTCTTTCATTTTTAACCATGTTTGACTTCGGATTTTCTCACGATTTTCACAAATGAAGACCAAGCTCGCACCAAAAGACAAATAAAAACATATTTCTATTCTGAAACTATTTATTACAAACAATGTCTCCTATTTCAGTAACGGGGCGGATCCAAGCAGAACTATTTTATATTGAGTCATAAAGTTATAATTATAAGTAACCTGCAAAATAACTCAAGTCAAATCTATTTCGTCTTCACATGGAAACATTTTCTCAATATGATTTAATATTTCTTTTGCCAATAATCACACCTTTTTGTAATTTTGGAACTGGTATATCGCCTTCATCATCAAACGACAAAATAGGTGCTGACATTCGCTCATATTTAGTACCAGTTGATCGAAGATCACGTGGTGGAGGTGCTTTATCAGCAAATTTGAACTAAAATAAAGATACAATAAAATTATATTTGTACTATTATAAGTCTTTTTAATATTTAACATAGAAAATCTTACTTGTATAGTTTCACTAATAGATTTAGTTTGAACATTTTCTGACGATAGTTTAGTTATTATAGAATTGTTATCTAATGAACGTGTATAAGAATCGTTTGAAACGGGGATGGGTTTAACTGAAATTGGAAATAGTTGTGGAGTGATGAGAGTTCGTCTCCAAAATATGGAATGCATATAAATATTTTAAATCAGTTTGTTATGAAAGCTAAGTAATGAGAGAGACACGAAACGTTTTTTTTTTGTTTTTTTGCTGGTTAAGAATAGAAAAAAGATTCACACGTTTATTTAAGTATAGTCATTATTTTTTATGTTTCATAGCACTGTTTTTTATTTCTGATGTGTTTCTAAAAAATAAACTATATTCGATTCTTTTTTGAATGCATCACATACCGCTTTAGAACAAAAAACAATAGAAAAAAAGACTATTTCTGTAAATTATATATGATGTGACTCTTTTCATTAAAACATTAATGAACAGTAATTTAGTCTTTTATTATTAGAAATAAAAATAATTGATCCGTCTATTTAGTGATTTATGTCACATGAGGTTGATGTTAATTCATTGATAACCAATAATACTAAATATCTTCTCTTTTTTTTTTTAGTCAGATGAATATTTTACTCATTACTACTCTGACATGTTTTCATTTTACTTTCATCTGGCGAAGGTCAAACTCTATAGTTTATTATTAATTCAAAAATTAAATTATTATGTTGAATGTAATGTAATACTTTAAAAATAATTTCTAAAAATAATTCATCCGAATTATGAGAGTGACATATAATGTTTGTTATTTATCTTATAATCATCATAAATTTGACAATCTATATTTCAACAAAATAGTGATTAAAATATTGAAGACAATTTTGATAGATCAAAAGATTTCTAATACCTTAGAATATTCATTGTAATCATCATCATCATCATCATCATCAACATCATCATCATCGTCGTCCGTATCACTATTATCAAAATATCTAGTTATTTGACAATATTTATCTTTATTTTTGTTTATAATTTTAGGGGTCTGTTGTTGTATATGTATATTTTTTGAGCTCGAATAAAAACTTGTCGCTATCATTTTCTTTTATAAAGTGATAACTTCTATCGAAGATAATGTTGATGTTAATAATAGTTTCTCTATTATTAGATGGTCATCCCATCAATACAGATATTTCTAAGATGATGATTAAATAAAACTTGTAAAATAATAACACTTTTTATATGATATTGTTCTCAATTATTATTATTATATTAGATGTTTTCTATTTAAAGTCAAAATAATCATCAGACTATCATCAACAACAGATAATTAGAAAACTTATTTCTTTCAACATCATACCATTTTATTCATGAATAATAGAGTGTCAACTTTCACCTCCTATCGAGTATTACTTTTGGTTATTTTCACATTAAAAAAGAGTTCAAATATCATTATTGTGAGCTTAGCCTTCTAGTAGAAATTAGCAGTTAAGCTGATAGATCACTGCTCCTTCACTGAAAGAAAGATGGTTTTGATAGAGTATGTAATGTATTAGACAACAGTTGTAAATGAATAAAGCGATGTACTATACTAACGAGCAAATCTATCCGAGTGACACCGTCCGATTTCGTTCGTTCATAAGTCGATCGATAGAGAGTATCGAACTAGTAAAAAGTCTAAAACGATTTTTCCTCGTGACACTTCATGACCCGGTTTTCTGGAAAACCAGTTTTTCAGAAACTTCAAAAAATAACCAAAACCTTTCTTAATGACACAGGATTGTAGCCCGCAAATTACTGATTAAAATGAGACATCTATTAGCTCTACACAACCTTTCTTTGCAAAGTTACAGAATTTATAAGAAAAGCCCTAAGTGTTCATTGTCAGCTCAAAGCTGCAGAAATAAGAAGAAATTAATTTAGGGCTATTCTTGTAAATTCTATAACTTGGCAAAGAAAGGTTATGTAGAACTGATAGATGTCTCATTTTAATCAGAAATGTGTGGGCTACAATCATGTCTCATTAAGAAAGGTTTTGGTTCTTTTTAAAGTTTCTGAAAAACTGGGTCATGAAGAGTCACGAGGAAAAATCGTTTTAGACTTTTTACTAGCTTGATACTCTCTATCGATCGACATATGAACGGACAAAATCGAACGGTATCACTTGGACAGGTTTCCTCGTAAGGAAGTAGGTGATCATCAGAGAGTGAATCATCTGTTCGATAAAAAAACAGAACTCTTTATAAAACCATCGTAGAAATTTGCTGAAGAATTGTTGTTAATTAGAGAATTTATTTTTCAAGAAGTACATAACGTATGATTTCTTATGTTTATAAAAGAGGTTCTAACATCGATGACATGTATTTTAAGTGTGGTTTATATATTCTGAAAGAAATTTATATGTCATCTCAATATCTTACTTTGAACTGTCAACTATAACTTTCTCTTTCGCTTCTTCTTTTTCTTTTCATGTGTGTCATCAAAGATTGCATGACTGGCAGCCATCATAGAACATTTGGTTTGCCTATGAGTTATTAATGAAGACGTATGTGAAGAAACGAATTATCAACAACTAATTGATTGCTCTGTAATTGTCATACGTATGTACGAACGAAATAATTCTATTTTTACCCTATTGTCACTCGTATTATTCTTATGTAAGAAGAAAAAACTTAGATTTAGTTTCTCTTAACACAAATCGATAGCTGTTTTTCTCAAAAGTTTATATTAAACTGGACATACATAAAACATATAGGAAGCAATAATTGACATTTTATTATGTAAATATGCAATAGAATATATAGACAAGAATGATCAATAACAGAATATTACACGCGTATGTTTGTTGATTGACTAGTTGTAGTCGGATTAGGAGTATGGGATACAATAGTTACATGTAGACATTTTCACATTAATAAGAAGATACTTTTGATATTTTGATCATGAGAAATATTCTAATGTATTTAGAATAAATTCTAGTTAAAAAAATTTATGAATTTATATGATAATTCATCCGAAGTTTAAGAGCATAATGAGTCTTAATTTAGAATTTATTTGCTGATCCATGGACCCATTATTCTATCGTAAAGATTCTTTTTAGACCTTTTTATTATTTCAACTAGTCACGCACGGTATGTAATGACATTTTAAAATGGAACTTTAATGCTCAGTTTAAATGAAGAAAAATGTTAATTGCCAGTTTGAATTCTGATAACATTCCGAGAAAAAGACAAATAGATCAAACTGTAAAAACCTTTAAAAAAAACACGCCAATCTGAGAATAATAGACTAATACGTCAAAAAATGTTGACAGTCAATAATAAAAATTTGTCATAAAAAGAAAAGGAAACGAGCTATATACAAAGCAAGACCCGAGCATCCATTATTTGTGAAATAATGCAATATGTCACACTTATCGACTAGTATTAATTATAATGTGGCACATTTACAGATTAGGTGGCAATGTAAACAGTTTAGGACAGCCCTCTATTTAGTAATGCAAAACAATGGATACTTGACAACTTCGGAAGAATAGTAATTCCGTCGAACCTATGTTACTGTATATAAGATTTTCTCTCAATAAACCGAATAGATCAGGTTATGAAGATTCTGACTAAATATACTTAGTTATAGAATACAAATACGAAATGCATCATGACATTGAAAACATATTCAGATTTCTTTCTACTTGACACAACAATGTTAATGGATTGAACTTGTTTGAGTAACGATGACTGTATTTAATGTTTTACTTTTAAAAACAAAGTTTCGATTGACAAGTAAAATAAACACGATATATACAGAAGAACAACGAAGACGATCACGGCACATAACGAACAAAGAATACAATGTACCAATCATGGTGAAATATCCTAGAGATTGATGTTCCTTGTTTACAGAGTTAACTTTGCGCATTTCATTTTTTGTTGTTCGATTTCTAGCTGAATCTCTGAAAATATTTTTAATGAGAGGTATGATCGATGAAAATGGGGAAATTAACAGGTATTACACGCTATCTCAGTCGTAAAGTATTCAAACAGAAAATCAATGTAATACGTTCGGTTTCTAGCCAAGTTTTTTTTCTTTCTCCAAGAACAGCATCAGAAGATATGTTTTCATAATTCAGTTATCTGTGGAGAAGTATTAAGTTAATCATGCTCTAGAATTTTTAAACAATTTAGACTGACTTTCGAATATTTGTAAGTTTCTCGGGTTACTTCGGAGATGTCTGCTTCAACTAAAGCGGACATCAAAGTTCTAAATTTGAAAATAAGTGATATTATGCAATTAGGACAGACATACTTTATCAACAGTTTATCAATAGGAGATAATATGTGGTCACGCGATATAACGGAATAAGATTTAGACCACACACTTTTTCTTATACAAGAGATCACTACAAAATAGCATAATTACAGACTTTAGAAATTTTAGAATTTATTAACTTTTAGAGGCTCTGATTTTTATAATCTATGCCCGCAACAACGAAATGACACACATAACTAGATGTGAACTTACAGAGGAAATAATCGCCAAATCAACATATAGAAATGATTCATGAGTAAAAACTGTTTTTTAACTTCTGCAAAAAACACTGTTTTTATTCTGTACACTAAATTCTTAGATTCTATAGTTCGTATATTCTAAAATTCTTAGGTTCTAGATTCATAAATTTCTAACTGACACTAATTTTAAAACATCTGTATCCACTAATCCCATTGAATATTGCTGTCTCTGTATACAATAGAGATCTTCATGTATTGAAATCATTATCTCTATATTCCTTCACTACCTTTTATCGGATCCAATCTAGCTCAAGTTTTATTTTCTTAGCCTTAGCAGGTATCTAACTTCGCAAATAGTGTAAAATATTTGGTTTTTGCTAAAACACTACTAGCTCAATAATTTTTTTTCGCTTTTTCTCAGAACCTCAATAGATATCGAATAGTTGATAACATAGAATTCAAGTCAGTTTCAAGATTATTCGAAAGTGTTCAGATTTCTGGAGCATTCCTTCAGGAGGATGTCTGATGTCATGAGGACCCCTTCAGGATCCTGGGGGCACCTGTGAAGCTATGTATCATAAGGAAACGATGAAAGATAAAGATCTTGAAACCGTGAAGGATGAGAGGTGTGATATATCTGAGAAACAGATACAGGAGATATACCTAAACGATTTCTTTTAGGATTT